ATTAGATGAGATGCCACCTGCAAAACACTTGGCACATTGTCTGGCACAGAATAGAAACTTGATAAATGGTAGCTTTTAAAAATTATTATTAGTTGTAGCTGTGCTATTTCCTGTTTTTCTTAAAACTTGTGGTCAGGTTCGGACATCCTCTTCAGTTCTGGTTCTGAATTTTATTTTTTAAAGTTCTTCACAAGACTGAGCCTGAAAGTGAGACTCAGTGCTTTCCAACTCTGCGTTATTAGTTTCACCAGGCATGCATAATTAAGTCAAGTAAATACAGTATATGTGCACCAGAGCTGAGACCAGAAGCTCTTGTTCTGGACTTCATTCTAATGTGATCATTGTTGTGTTGGGGCTTATAAGGCTTTTCACGCAGTCCTGAAAAGCATTATTCATTCATTAATTTATTTAACAGTCGATAATTCTTCAGTGGGTGTCTGTCATGTGCCAAGGGCTCTTAGAGGTGCTTAGAGTTTATCAGTGAGTAAGACAGACCAAAGAACCTCAGCTCTCCTGACAATAAGCAAATGAGAAGCAGGAAACAATACAGAATCTTCAACGGTAAAACATGTATGATAATAATAGAGCAGGGAAAGGTGGATCAGGAAAGTAAAGGGATACAATTTTAAGAAGGGTGGTTACAGTAGGCTTCACTGGGAGAGTTTTTTTTTTTTTTAGAAAAAAGACTAAAGAAGGTGAGGGAGGGAGCTGTGTAGTTATTCAGGGAAAGCATTCTAAGCAGAAAGGCCCTGAGGCAGAAGAGCATCTGGCCTATTTGAAGAACAGCAAAGAGGATGGTGAGGGTGGTGCTGGGAGATAGGGGAGAGGAGTGATAGGTTGTGGAATCCGAAAGAGTGAGGGTGCCCGGGTTGTGTGGGCCTGGGAGGACTTTGACTCCAAGTGAAGTAGAGCCATTGGAAGCTGCTGAGTGGAACTCCGGTGTCACCTGATGTACCGGATCAGGTGCGCTGCAGGCTGGTCCTGGAAGCAGAGGCAGTTACGTGCTAGGACCCAAACCCTGATGCATAGCGGTGGCTTAGCTCCAAAGGTGGCAGCCCAAGTAGTGAGAAATGGTCAGATTCTGGATATGCTTAGAAGGTAGACTGGATGAGGGCTGTGAAAGAAAGAGAGGAGTCGAGATCCTTTTTGACCTGACAGTTGGAAGGATGTAGGTGACATTTATTGACATTTGAATGCAAATTTCACGATGACTCTGAGAGAGCAGATACCTCAGGGTTTTGGGCTTGAGTATAGGGCCTCCTTCTACCTGCTGGGGGGAACCTCCTGAATCAAATGAGCTTCCATTGGTTCTTTGAAACATGAGAATCAGAAAGACTGGTCTTTTTCATAAGCACTTTTATAACAAACAGTAGGAAAAAAAGCAGCCTTTTTTCCATGTATTCTTTTTTCCTTCTTTTTTAATTTAAATATAGTTAATATGCAATATTAAAAGCAGCCTTTTAAAATTGTATTTCCTCAATGCCAAATGTTAATTCAGTTTTTTAGCCTACCCTCTCACCCCCACGCTCTACACACAAACTGCGTTTCTGAAGAGGAAAGCTGCTGGGACGCCTGGCACCCAGTAGGGGGAGCTCAGGAGGCCTGCGGAAGACCTTTGAGCGGAGGCACAGGGCAGGAGCAGAGCCTGCGGTCAGACCTCTAGTGACCTCTGCGCCTGGCACCAGGAGCCAGACCTTTCTGGGAGGATGGGGAGGTGGTTCTAGAACTTTCCTCTTCCCTTAGTCCTTCTGTGTAATGGTATTGTCATGCATGAATGACCAAACATTCATCCAGAACTGATGCCCTGTGTGTATCTACGGAGGAAAGACCTGTAAAGAGAAGAGAGAAGAGTGCCGCAGGCCGTAGTCATGGACTGCTTTCCTAGGGCTGTTCTAACAAATCACCACAAACCGGCTGGCTCAAGACAAGAGAAATTTATTTTCTCACAGCTCTGAAGGCTAGAAGTCCAAGGGGTCAGCAGGGCCTTGCTCCCTGTGAGGCCCTAGGGAGGAGTCCCTCTCTGCTGTTCTAGCTTCTGGTGGATGCTGGCCACCTTGGGGTTCCTCGTCCCATAGCAGTGCAATGTGCCTCTGTCTTCCCTACATCTCTTCGGTGGCTCTGTGTCCTTTCCGCTTCTTATGAGGGCAATGCTCATGTCAGACACAGGGTCCACTGGAAACCAGGAAGACCTCATCTTAACTTATTACATCCGCCAAGACCCTCTTTCTAAATAAGGTCACACTCACAGGTACTGGGGTTTAGGACTTCAACATATCTTCTGGGGGGACACAATTCAACCCATGAGAGAGGACGACGAGAAGCACAGGAATAAACGGCCAGTTGGGGAGTCACAAAAGTGTGGCCCTAAACACAAGGAGCACAGCAATAGGCCCAAATAGTGGATTCCAAGCATGTCTGAGAATAACAGGAAGCGAATGCAGAAGAGACGCGCTCACTCAGGACCCTCTCCCTGTCTGTACTTATGGCCCTGGTTTTTTTTTCTCAGAGTTAAAAATATATATATTGTATAAATAAAAAGATAAGAAAGTAGCACTTCTCTGACTCACACATTGGGCAGAGCAGCAAACTCTTGTGATAATCAGGGAAGACTTCACAGAAGTGTCCATGCTTGGGCAGGATCTCAGAGCAGGAGGATAAAGTCTCCACGCACAGGGTGGTGGGGAGGGGAAAAGGCTTCCCAGGAACACCACGCACGCGCTTCTTGAGCCGTGCACCCTTTGCCTGCTTACGGAGAGGGGAAGGTCATTAAAGGGAAGGCTCATATTGCCTACTTAGTCTGTGCTCACAGACCCAGTATTAAAAAAATGAAGGGGGAAAATGTTTTTGGTTTTAATGAATGCACAAATGAGCACGTGATAATCTGGAGGAACGTTAGAAGCATATACGGGGAGGAGTTAATTGTTGGACACATTTGCCAAAGCACTAATATGGAAACCCCACCCTCAGCCAGATCTGGAGAAATCAAAGGGCTGAATGTGGTATAAATTCCTCTGCCCTGAGTACATAAGGAGATCTGCCAACATTTTTTTCTCTAATCTATTCCTTTCTGTACATAGGGCTGAACTGGGTTCTTAAAAAACCTGACGGTGAACTGAGATGCGCAATTCTGAATCACCCCCACGATTTAGGAAAATTAACTCCTCGCTGATCTTCTCAGATAAGCACCCAAGCTTGCTGCTTCTGAGATCTGCATCAGGATCTGGCCAGGTTTCTGTCATAGAGCAACTCCCCTTTTTTGGCGTAAGAATGTGCAGGATGCCAGTAAAGTTCATCCTGGGTCATCCAGTCTCTTTAAATGCACAATGATTCATTGCTGGGGGTGGGGGAGAGAGGATAGTGAGGGGGTAGGAAGTGCTGAGCAGAGAGGCGGAGCGACGTAATTATGAAATTGACTGCAGAAAGCCCAGCTCTGGGAGAGATGGGGTCACATGTCCTTACTATTGCTATTTCAGCTACAACTTTTTAACTAGAGGCAGGGGGAGGGCCTGGAACAGATCCTGCAACTCAATTGGCTTTCAGAGGAGGTGCATCAGAGGCCTCACGTGTTTCTTAAGAGTTACAATGTATTAATTTCTCTTTATATCTGACAAAGCAGAAAGGTCCTCTCCTGACAGTACAGTTAGCAGAGTAAACATTTGGCTGTAATGGTATGAGTGAACAATTTGTCATCTTCTACTTGACTTACTGGTATTCTAGGTGACAGGGTCTTCCATTCTGTGCATTCATTTTGTACTTAAAAAGGCATTGTTTGTAATTTACAGTTGAAGTCGGAGTGCCATTATTCTGCTCTGTCAGAAACCATCTGTGGCGGTAGCTATCATTCCACGTCTGTACCACAGACACAGGGCAAAGCTGGATCTTCAGCTGTCCGTCGTGAGAGCTCCCCTGATTCTGTGTGCAGTTCAACTTTGGAGAAGGCCCGACGGACAAGGGGCTCAGCAAATATCAGTGGCCTGAAATCCCGACATGGACAGTTTCCTCGCTGAACTCTAGTTATTCATGTCAAAAAAGCAGTTTGCCAATGCATTTTTTCCCTCTAACTTTTCCTCTTCAGGGTAAACTTGGTAAATTACTCATAAAATAATTTTCTTAAACCCTGACCCTCACTTAGGGTGAGCTCTTTCTCCTACCCAATATTGACTCCAGAAAAATAAAGTAATGGAGAGAGTTTATAGCTCTGTCTTTTAATGGCATGAAGTTAGAATAACACAGAACTTCACTTCCCTTTCCTGTAACAATTATTTATTTTTTTAGCTTGTTGCCTGTGATCTTATTTTGAAGGCACAATAAGCTTAGCATGCACATCCCATCAACTGCCACTACTTTAAATTCGAACAAGGGTGGCTTTGAGTTTTTATTTTAATTTGGAAAATGTGTTTCTTTTGAAGAAACAAAATGCCAAGTTGTTAATGAAATGCTTTTAATAGATTTCTAAATACTCCTGCCCAATACAAAGCAAAATTCAACTTATTCATTCTAAGCCTGAAAATGTCCATTTTCTTCTCATGTAAGAGGAGCTATATGTTCTTTAGTTAAGACCATAAATTCTGATATTTCACAGTTCATTGCATTACATTCATACACCGTCATAGTTACATTGATGAACATTTATCCAGGTCTTGCTTGCAAAATAAATAACAATGTTAAAAATTATCTCCTTTCCTTTTGATGTGTCCCTGTTGTACTACATACATTACAAAATTAAAAAAAAAACAGATTTCCTTTTGGTGGTCTTGACTTGTTTGCTAGCTAAGCAGCAATTATGTAATTGTCATTATCAATGCCCAAAGCCATCTTTTACTAGAAGATATCGACCCAAAATCGTTCAGCCACAGTGGCAATACAGGTTGTAATTCTAGAATGCTTGTGCTTTCTCAAACAGAGCATGAGTTTTCCATTAGCTTCCCAGGGTGGCAAAGTACCTGAGATCCTCTCTAAAGTGACCAAGTCACAGATGAGCCTAACAAATTGTTTTACAGGTGCATAAACCAGATCTACCAGTGAGACTATGACTGCACAAACAACATACTCTCAGGGATCATCTTCACAGGGTTTCTAAGGATCACTGCAAGGGGGGAACCTCCGGAAGGTAGAAGAGTAACTTAAGTTTTCTACGCTACTGCAGACAGCTACACCAGGATCCTAAGGCTTCATTTGCAGGTTCTTAGAAGTAATTACTGTACCTCCTCAGCCCTGTTATCTAAGCCAGTGCTGTCTATTAGAAATATAATATACAACCCTTCCATTGTAAATTTAAATTTTATAGTAGCCACATACAGAAGTAACAAGAGGTAAAATTAATTTTAACAATATATTATTTAGCCCAATCTATGCAGAATATTTTCATTTCAATATTTAATCAATATAAAAATCGAGCTACATATGTACATATATGTATATATATGTATGTATATATGGATGTGTGTGTACATGTATGTACTAACTCTTTAAAACCTGAAGGTATATTTTATACTTAAATCTCAGTTTGTACCAGCCACATTTCAAGTGCTAAATAGTTATGTTGGACAGTATTGAGCACTTACTGTACTAAAGTACTTGTTTTTGTTTTTAATTGTGGATAGAATCTTACTTAAAATTTCCTGATATGCATGCTATTAAGTCATAAACTGTTGGCAGATGTGTAAATACAATGATTTTAATTTCATTCTTGACTACCAGTGATTTTATTCTTCCCAAAACTTGTCTTGCCAGAGTTTAGTGAAGGGTCAAGAAAGATGATTCAGGAGCATATCCTTCAAGAGTCTCAGTGCCACAGACTGAGCCCAGTGACTTTAATATGGGTGTGGTGAGCTGACCTCAGAGTCTATTCTGTGAGTGTTTTTCACTTTTGTTTTTAGTTTAGTTTACTTTTCTGGTCCCCCCAGCTCTGCTTGGGAGCATAATCTAAGGAAAGTATGTTTGTTTTGCAAGCACACTATGATTTGCTCATTTTTAAATGACATGTGTAGTATAACACCCCCTTTAAAATTGCATGGTTAAAATTCTGTCAGTGTTTCCATTAAAAATTCAAACTTACCAGGATTTATTACACAGCCATAACAAATTGCTCCAGGCAGAAAATTGGCAAGTCCTTCTTTAACGTAAGAGGAAATTCTTTTGAACACTTTTTAAAAAGATAAAAATACATGTTTACTTCTTAAATTTACTCAGGTGATTTTTTTGATAGGGAAGGCATCAAGTAAAATATACATTGTATCTTTAAATTTTGTTTTATAAATTCAAAATATGAACATTAGCTTGGAAGTCATATTGGCAAAGAGTTATACAGTGCCCTCCCACCTTTCAGATTTTCTATTATTCTAGTATTTGATCCTCATATTTGGAAGTCTGAGTGATACAATGATTCTGAGAGGCGCTAAATCAATCAACTGGATCTTTCTGTTTCAGCATGGTGAATCTGGGCCTTTTTCAAAAGAGGACATTTGTTCTGCTGTTCTTTGCAAGTGGAGACACCTTCCTCATCTTTATATTCTCAGGGCCCAGTTATTGTTCATGCACAGTAAGTGGCTGCTGGTACATAATGATCATGAGACAAAAAGCAGTTTGAGAATTAAGATATAGTCTCTGTTCATAAGTCTCTTATTCAGATATTCACTAGCTCATAACTTTGAAAAAACTTTGAAACTGTAAAGAACATGCTTCTGGATCTTTAACCTCTGTGATTTATTTCCCTCATCTCTGAGTAACTCAATGGATTGGTGTAACAGTTAAAAGACCCAGTAATAGGAAAGCTCAGGCTGGTTCCAGTACTTTTTTGAGGCTTGTCTTTACCATGGCTGATCCACCTCATAGGTGCGTTTGGAGATGCAAAACAGAAAGTTGTGAAAACTGCTGTATAATAATTAAAATGGAAATCCTCACCAGGGCAAATATTAAGGATAAACCCCTAAAATTACTGTGAAAGTAAACACCGTGAAAAGTATGCTTATTTTGCTCCCAGTGAAAAGAATTTATCTGGCATAATACTGGGTTAACTGACCCCAATATTTTTAAGTAAATGAGATACTCTTAGAGTTGCCTTATTCTGTCTTGTGTTATCTTTACATTTTTTTCCAGTTTTATTGAGACATAATTGACATACATCAGTACATAAGTTTAAGGCATACTGCATGATGGTTTGATTTGAACATATTGTGAAATGATTGTTGTCGTTACTTTTGACTGGGGAAAAGCTGAGGCATCTTTTCCAAGTATGACTTTGAGGCCCAGTTTCCTTTAAGTATCAAGTCTAAAAAACTCTAAGTAAATATATCTGTATTCTATTTAATTTCCAGTCTGTTCACTTATTTCGTTGTTATAACCTGGTAAGCTGTTTGTGTTTACTTGTTTTGGTTTGGCTTTCTTTGAACTACAGAAAAGGCTACTCCCAGTACAAACACACACTGCAATTTAAAATCCCTTACGGTTTGGAGGGCCTGTACACTTGCTTCATTAAGCACTCTTGTGCTCCCTCTGCTGCCATGAAGGAAACCTTCACGTTCAAGACCCCAGCACACTGCTCACTGAGTGTTCTCTTGGCTGTGATGATGCAGATTTGTGTGTAACTTGAGGCTCTTTGGAAATGCAGTACTATTTGACATTAAAATGTAATAACTTTTCATCAAAAAGTGCAGATTAATAAAAGGGGGAGGGAATAAAAGAGGAATAAATGTTAAGAATTTGTGGCCAAATTCATCCAGACAGAGCCCTAGGGCAGACAAGTGTTCTTCACACTACAATGTGCTTAGGAATCACTGGAGGGTTAGTTAAAAGACAGGGTCTGATTCAGTAGGTCTGGGGTGCAGCGCCTATTCTGAATTGTCTGAAAAGCTCCCAGATGCTGCTGCTGTCACACTGAAGACTCAGCTTTCAGAAGCAAGATGTAGTAGATAATTATATATTTTGTTTACTTGATAGCCCATTTTAAACCTTCAAAAGTAGATTCTACCAAAACAGTGAAATAGATAAAAGGGATGAAAATGATCATCCATGGTGTTTAAGCAGTGCACACAGATTAGGAGTAAGGCTCAGCAGGTTTTATTTCTCAATTTCCTTTAATTTCAAAGTTTGACTTAGGCTTGTATGCATATAGTATCAGGTTTATAAGTAGGACCATAGTACTACGTATCTGCCTACTGGCTTCTTGAAAGCCCTTCTCTTCTTCCATTGAGTTTTTATTTGCATGAGAAAGTCTTGTTTTGAAAGAATCAGTGCCAATTACTTGTGATCGTACATTTTTGCCTGTGAACATTAAACATTTCAGTACTAAAGGTAGTGGAACTGAATCATATTGTGTTTATGTTGGGACCTGGCAGGAAGAAATAGTCACAGATTTCAATGGCACTTTGTGGCTTTAATCTTAATGGCTGAGAAAGTAAATGACGCATTTCTTATTAATTGTTCTTACTTAATATGTTTGGGTAATATACATATTTAGCTTCCTTGAGGGAACATTTAAATTAATTGAAGAACTCTAATCTGAATTATGTTTTAATTTGTCTAAGATTAAAATAACTGCTTGTGTCAATGTAATAATTAAAATATTAGCTTTTTTTTTTTGCCAAAAATTCTCTAAATGTAAGATGTCTAAAAATAAAGTGGAGGTGGATTGGACAGTCTGCAGATTAGAAGTTGGAATAAAAACATCTCAGTTAAGCCAAAAACATGGCAACCAATATTTTCTGCTATAAAAATATTTGAGATGAATTCGATTTTTAGGAAAGCTGTCTGAAACTGAAATTAATAGCAGAAGTTCTATTTATTCACAAGCCAGTAGTAATACCTTCAGCACAAGGTTTAGATCTTTTCCCGGAGCCAACAGCTTCCGGTCTTTTCAGAAGCGGGTTCTGCCGAGTTGGGGGAAGAGATATTACCCAGTTGTGTTCTCAGGTACTAACGTTCCCCTTGATAATGCTTGTCAAACGAGCACAACACCAGGTACAGCCTTTTCAGGAAACTGTTTTTAACTGTCCACTAGAGGCTGTACTGAGACCAACAATGTCACTTTAGACCAACCCCGGGTTTAGACTGTAACGATCATTGCTTTTAAATGGAAAAAAAAAAGTTGTAGGAACGAGTAAGAGTGAAGAGTAGTAGTTCTGTTTAAATAGAAATGTAGATTTGCATGGTATTTCAAAATGTGAGAAAAAAATAATTTCCTGGGTTCTGCACCTTCCTAGTTAGTATACTTATTTTTATGTAGCATGTTGGCTCTATAACACAGTTGCTCATAAGCCGACACACTTCTCCTGGTGACTCTGTATCCTGCTTCAGTTGGTGACTAACCGTTAGGTCATAAGTAAACTCCGCCAGGTTTCTCAGATACAGCTTACAGTCAATAGCGGTGGCTTCCAGAGAGAAACTTACGTGGAGGGATCATATTTCTAGACAGTAGGTTCCAAGCACCTGAAGAAGGTCAAATGCTGCTCCGACCCCTACTTGTCTTCCAGAAGTATCTTCAGCAAGGAGAACGCTGCACGCTGCACTGAGCTCCCGTTAGCGTGGCTGTGCCTGTTCTTCCTCCAGGGGCCATACCTGTCGGCCAGGTGCACCCCTCCAAAGAGGATTCTTTGCCCTGAACTAACTCCTGGCAGTGGTATCGCGCAGAGGCGGGGCGCTGGGGTGCAGCAAGCCGCACACAAACATTGAGTCCAGAGGAAGTGCTTCAGCGTGGATTCACGAAAACTGCCGTTTGATGCTCGGTTCGCTTTCTCTAGCTCCTTCACTGGTTACCTCATTTCCGATTAAATTAATGATCCCGAATTAGCTGCGAGAGAAGTGTCTATCAGGCCGGAGCTGGGTGCTCAACACCCCAAGCAGATTTCCGGACCTGCTGAAAGAGAAAGGAGGGCCAGGAGGTCGGCAGCTTTCACAGACAGCAAAGGTGAAGATGCACGTGCAGTGGGGGGAACCCCTGAAACTTTCCTGAGTTGCACGCAGGGGCAATCCCCGCGGCCTAGTGGTCTGGGTTCCCGAAGGCCGAAGCTACACCGGTTTGAGGGTTAATGTGCACCGCGGCTGGAGTCACCCTCTTGGACGATTCTCGGCGCGCCCGGGACGAAGGGCACGTCGGGATCGGAACTGGCCCACCTCCCCTCCCCTAGGGTATTTGAGAGGCTTGGAGCTGAAGGCCTACAGCCCTCGGAGAGTCCTCCAGGGAGCCCGAGTTGCGTCCCGCCGCCGATCTGTCCCTTTCAAGTAGGTGCAAGGACCGGGGAGCCGAGCGCGGACCGACCGGTCACTACTAAAATTACCTCATCGCCGCAGCTCCCCGCCCCTTTCCCAAACCTGGAAGAACTGTCCCCTCCGGTCCGCGTCTCCCCTCCCGCTACCCGCCACCCGATCCCGATCCCGTCTCGGGAAACGCGCCCGCCTTCCCGGGGCCGCCGAGCCCTGGCCGCGCGCACCGAAGGGGTAGAGGCGCCGGTGCTCACGGGGCTCCGAGCGGCTCGGCCAGCCGCCCGCCCGAGGGGGCCCCGCACCCCCGCCCCGGTTGGATCCAGAGCAGCGGCGGCGGCAGCCAACTGCTCCATATTTGGCCTCTATTACACATTTACATACTGGAGCGAGCGGGCGGGCGGGCGCGAGAGAGCGCGCGGGGGTGGGGGGGCCGGCGGCGGAGGGAGGAGGCCGGGAGGGGCGGGGGCAGGGGAGGCGGCGGAGCGAGCGGAGTGTACCGCAGACATCATTTCTACTACGGTGGCGGAGCCGTGCAGGACCTGCCTCACTGCAGGGGGAGCCGAGCGACCCCGTGGAGCCGCAGCCAGAGCCCCAGCAGCCGCGAGACTCCGCTTCTCTCCCTCTGCCCTCCTTCCCCACGCAACCCCAGATCCATTTACACTTTACAGTAAGTGGCTATTTTTTTTCTCCTCTGATTCTTCCCCCCTCCCCCCACCCCTTACCCCTTATTTAGGTGACCCCTCCGATCCCCGCTCCAGAGAGGGGCAAAAGCATTAACCAGCAAACAAACCCCAAACCCCAGTCGGCGGCACGGAAAACAGCTGGAAGAGGAGCGAAGGAAATCGACGCGTCGTGTGTGTGTGTGTGTGTGTGTGGTGTGTGTGTGTACATACAGCCTAATCCGGCGCCAGCCTCCCGGGCCGACACCCGCATCTGGGCGCAGGGACGGCCGGCAGGAGGGCTGCCGGGGGCGCGGGCGCCCGCCGGGCGAGGGGGCGCGCCCGGGCTGGGGGCGCGGGCGGGGAGAGCAAGCGTGGAGGGCCGTGTCCGCCTCCCTCGGGGCGGCGCAGGGGGAGGCGGCGGCGGCCGGGGTCGCGCTGTCCCCTCCTCCCGCCGCCCCCTCCTCATCCCTCTCTCCGGAGGGGCGGCGGGAGCGCGAGGGTCTGGCGGAGGGCTGGGCTTCCTCGAGGAGGCAGTCTGGCCTCGGCGCTGGGGTCGGCGCTGGGGCGGTGGTCTCCCCGCGGAGGCCGGCCTCGGCGGGGGCGCGGCGGCGGCCCGGGTCGGGACTTTGCGCACAGCGCGGCCGGGCGCCTGGCGGTGGGCGCGGGCGTGCGGCTGAAGGGGCGGCCGCGGCCCTGGTGCCGCCGCCGCCGCCCTGTTGGTCCGACCGCTTCCTGATCTTGTTCACCCGCCGCCGCCCGTGGCCAGGAGCCCGCGAGCGCCCCGGGCCGGCGTCCCCGCCAGGAGCGGAGGAGCGGCGGCCGGCGCTGCCCTGCCTGCGCCGGGAGCGAAGGGCCGCGCGGCGGCCGAGGGCGGATGGAGCCGGGAGGAGGGGAAGGCGGCGGCGGCAGCGGCAGCGCTGAGGAGACGGGGCTGCGCCCTGGAGCCCCACCGCCTGCCTGCTCCGGGCCGGGCCGGAGACTCCGCCGCCTCCGTCGCCTTCTCCTACGTGGTCCCAGCGCTGCGCGCAGGCCAGCCCCGCAGGGGGGCAGGGAAGGGGCCGGCCGGGCGGAGCAAGAGGTGAGGCGGCGGCGGCGCGCGGCGTGAGTGTGAGTGAGCGAGTGCGTGCGTGTGTGTGAATACGTGTGCGCGCGGGGAGGGGGCGGCCCCCCTGTGGCCGCTGGGCTGAGTCCGCAGCGCCCCGACCCCTCGGCGCCCCCTCCCTCAGGCCGCCTTGTCGAACTGCGCGGGTGGCGCTTTCATTTTATTTCCGACCACGTAGGGGGCTGCCTGGAAGCGGTGAAACAATTCAGGTTTTCTAGGGAGATTGAGCAAGAACCTTCCTGGGGGGTGGAAGTAGGGTGGTGGTGGAGATCCTGCCAGAGCAAAAAATTCCGTCTTCTAAGGACTGTGGGGTTCGGGTCAATCCCGTGGCTGCTCTGTTTTATTTTGCTTTCTTAGTATATAATCCCGCAGATAAGAGGGTAATATAAATACTTCGGAAGATTGGGAAATTGCTGAAGAGTAGTAAGGGCAAAGAAAAAAAAAAGCAGCAGAAAGCTGGTTATATAATGCGCGATGTGGCTAACGAGAACGGCAAGCTATTTTTGTTTACCGTATGCTGTGCGGTAGGGACTCTTCCAAACTGGTTCTGTCCCCGAAGAGATTCTTAGCTTCTCTGTGAGATCCACAGGATACAATTAGCAAAATTAGAAGACCCTATTACATCCACAAAATAAAAACTAATGCCTTCGAGTGGCAGGCTCCCAGCACACCCCGCCTGCATGCACGGGAATGTGCGTATGCAAATAAGTTCTCCTTTGGCAATCTAGTAGTCACAGCTCAGTGACATTTGTGTTTTGTAATGCAGGCTGTTCTCAATTTTTAAACATCCTTACCTGTCGCATACAGCAGTGGGTATTGGTTATTTTTAGGCATAGCTGGTTTTCAACAGTGTTAGCTTAAGCCATTTCTACCTGCATTTTTTTAAGGAGCCCCGCAATTTCTGGAAGCCCCTGTTAAGCCCCCCTGTGTAGTCTGGTGACTGAAGGTAGTTTGATACTTGAGCTTTTATTGGAGTGAAGCATATGCCTGAGGATTATCACCAGAGAGAAGGACCAGAAAATCCTGCACATGAACCCTTGGAAAGGGATTGCACCATAACCGCTAATGCTGTGACATTAATCTCCTCTGATTGCCCTCTAACTGTGCATGCATCAGTCAATATTTTAGCAGCTCCACAGACGAATGGGCTTGCGTGCCGCTTTCTACAGAAAGCAGAGGTTGAAGGGCTCCCCTGAACCTCCTGCCTGCCTGTGTTTCTCATCATGTAGATACGTGTCAGTGGTGTAGGTTTTCGGTGCACTTACTCCAGCCCTGATCACTCATGTAATTAGATCAGGCTGCCATGGCAACAGACAGTGTTCCTTGTCCATTCAGGTGGGTTTGTCTTGTGCCTGGACTACTCCAAGCATTTCCTGCACAGCGTATGTGTGGTGCCCTTGCCAGACGAGAGACTTCACTGTTTCAGTTGTCTCTTTCAGATTTGGACAGGAGATACTGAATGAGGCTTCTAGCCACTCAGCATTTATAAAGGAGACCAACAAGCTGTTCTTAGTGGGTGCAGTTTGTAAATGCATCGCACCGGACAGTGAAAGGGGCCTGCGATCCTGCTGACGTTTTTGGTGAACAGATCAACAAGTATTTGGTGCTCCTTGGAAACCTTTGAGAGCTCACTAAAGCCACATTTCTTTTGCCATCTGGTGCCTTTGGCCTTGTAGACATTTAACCCTTTCGAGTGTGAAAGCATCCATCCATCCTTTAGAACCGAAGTTGCCAGTAGTCATGTCTAGTTCTCTAAAGGGTTTCCTCAGCGGAAGTAATTTATTAGGGGAGGATATCCCTCTGGTCACATTTCGGAACCTTACAGCTTTCATACTAACAAGAAATGGTACCAACTGCGGGCAGCCCTTTGGAGTGTATTATTCATGTTTCACTTGGATCTCTTGGCCTTGGTGGTTGGGTTGGTGGTAGTCAGCTAAAGGCTTGTCTCTCAGATGAGAGATGATGGAGGCCTACAGCTGGTAGGCTGATAATGTGTGGGGCTTTTGCACAGTGAACAACTTGTACTCTGTTTTGATCTAATTTACTGAGCATTTAATAATTTAGAGAACAGCATTAGTCCTTAAGTTGGCCAAGCAAAGAAAAATAATTTTGTTGCAAAAGAGAAAGGCAAGAAAAGTAGCTTTGGTTGCTGAAGCTCTGTGTTGCTCAGGATTATTTCAATGATCCTGACAGATGAAGGGAAACATAGTTGAGAATAATGTCTGGATTTAGTAGTGACCCTGCCAATCAGTGTACAGGTTTACAGCCCCAAAGCTAAATTGGTAAGTCCTTTTGTCCCTGGGGCTAGGATGGACTGAGTACTCTATGCTCTTCCCATGGGGTTCCAAAGGCTCTCCCATTTAGTGAGCTCATGCCATACATTGGTAACTTGATTGTGGCCTGCTCGGATCAAGTGTTGGCTGTAGTTAAAATGAGCTGTTTTTCTCTAGGAGGTAAATAATGAGAAACAGGAATATAAAATAAGTCACAGAGGTTTTATGTTTTTCATAACACCTTTGAGGCCCTGGATTTTATTTTGCAACATACAGAAAACTTTACTTGCAGTAAAACATGAACACGTATTTTTGATGGCACACATAAATTCATGCTAAAATAAGTGTGAAAAATGTACTTGATTGGGAACTGTGCATGTCAATATTTGCCTCTCTGAATTTCATTCTAAGAGGGTTTGGTAAACAGAAGTGATGCTTTATCAGAAATTCTGTAACCAGGCTCCAGGGCCTCTGAATTCAGACTTTTACAGAAAGTTTCAAGAAGAACTCTTTATTCCTGAGAGGGCTTTACTTACCAACATACCTTACTCCGTTGTCTCGAAGTCCTGGAAAAGGCTGGCCTTAAGAGATTATTAAAATATTAGTAAACACATTTCTATGATTCCTATTTTTGTTGTCATTACAGAACTTAAGGACTCACATTCCTTCTATATAATGTACCTTTGTTTTTTCTCCATTCTGAAATGTGGATTTTACTTTTCCACTTAAGCGTGCATGACACTTTCTGATGACTAACACATTCTAACACCAGCTCATTTTGTTTATTAGAAGTTAGTCAATAGACCTATTTTACTAAAACTTGAAATTTCATAAATGTAGGTAGGAGTGAATGCTCATTCTTTGAATGATAGTTGTCTGAAAGTAATACATGCTATAGTTTCTGAAAAGCTGAGTTCTTGCATGTGTGAAGTCACATAGTGCACCAAGACAGAATATCATTTTTAGTGGGGAGATAACTTGATTTCCATGGCTTTATATTTTCAGAGTAATTCAGTAATTTGAAGGACTGGCTTCTGTGAGAGATTGAAGTTCTTAACTGCTTCCCAGAACAGATTTAGTTTTGGTCATACATACTTCTGAAGTTATCAGAAGTAGCCCCCCTTATTTTGTTAAAAGCATCAAAAATAATGAATTGTAGAGACCTCAATAGAGATAATAATTTCTGTTCCACAGCATTATATACAGGACTGCCTTTTTTTTTAAAGAATGAATTTTATAGTCATCAGTTATGCTGTTCAAATTTCAGTTTCACTTAATTCAGTTTAAGAAGATACTCATTCAAAATTACTTTCGGAGATGATACAATAATGAGTATACCAAGTGATAGTTTTGGAGAATATTTTTAAATGTTGGCTGAAAGAGTTGTGATTGGATCAGGGATTTAAAAATATAAATAAATGCTTAAACTTACAGAAGTAATAAAAAGAATTAGGTAAGTAATCTTTATTTGTGGGAACAATTTAAAAAATCCTTTTCTTATTTCCTAATTTATGTGTTTTGTCTTTACCAGTGTAGTAATATATTTTATAATCCTTACAAATCTGAACTTTTCAGACTAAGTGCATCCTAGATGCACTAAAATATGTTGAGAACTATTACAGGCAAAAAGGTAGCCAGCATTATATTTCTTTGACATACTTGATGTTAGCAGAAATGTTTCATTGATTTTCCTGTAATTTTTAATGCATCCCATTTGAGGAGTAATGAAAATGCAATGATAATTACTGTTACATAAGCAAAAATTCTGTCCTACCTGAAAATCACTTTTCAGAAAATTGACTGTAATGTAATCAGAATTTAAGACTTAAGGGGGCAGAGGTTCCCCTGATTATGGTGTTTTGGTTCAGGCTCAGAGGAATTCTTTTTTCCACTTTCCTGCTCTTAAATGTGACACATTTTGAGGGAGTTATTTAGCAGAAGGTTTTAGTGATAATTGTCATAGCTGCTAACCCGTAAGCATTTATGCTTCTGACATTCAAAGGAACTGTATTTTTCTGTCCCTATGTTTTGGCAGATTTTCTTTTGTTGCATCCTTAGCTTTGGCCTACTTCTCTGCAAAGTATTTATATGATCTCTTGTACTTACATTATTTCTGTATTATCTCCTCTTCACTGACCACTGCATCAGTATTATTCAAGCCATCTTCCTTAGTAATTTTCCATTATTAACAGTATTGTGTTACATTGCTCTGTTGTGCTTTTTAAATATTAGATATTTCATCTTTAGTGTATATGTTGTACAAAACATTCCATAGGTTATTTCTTGTGTATTGTGCATATGTTTTGTCAATGAATCCCCTCTGCCTTGCTTTTATCCTTGTCTTTCTTCCTGCTAATGGCATATAGCAAGTTCACTCTTTCAATTATTCTAAACTGGTGTAGCAACACAAATCCTTTTGAAATAAGTAGGCACACAGATGTGAGGGTAAATTAATATTTTACAGCATTTGCATCATGTTTGACTGTTCTCTGCACTTCAACAGAACAGGAGGAGACTGTAATTTGGACTCTGTAAAAGCTTATCTACCAGGTGATATGTAAATAGGATTGTGTGCACACACATCAATATACAAGCAAGTATTCTCTCAACTGTTAGCTCCAAGAGCAAGTCCCATCTGCAAATCCATAGTACCTGCACGTTGTTCAAAAATTATCAAGTGTTTTGATGCTTCATATGAGAAGTTACTGGATAAAATCCAAACACCCCCCCTTAAAACAAGTACTGCATAATAATAGAATTTTATGAGCTTCTGTTTAACTTGGTCACTACATTCGCAATTCAGCATGCTTTTTGTGGAGAGAGAGTGTCTTTGAAGGACTGCGAGATGTTGTAGTCTGGGATAGCTTACCTTCTTTCTCTGTATGCACAGCTTGCATGTGGGGAAACCAAGGGCTAGAAAACTTCTTTTCCTGTCCTAGGCATGCAGTAGATGCTTAAATCAGTACTTGGTGAATGGATTCGTTAGAAGTCAGACTGCTTTGGCTAGTATTTGTTACTTTGAAAAGCGTTGGAAAGCAATTGAAATTATTTTCCTTTCCAGCTGGGCTGGGCTCTTAAAAATAGTGAAGTCTATGGATGAAAATAATCGTCACTACTGAGGTGTGTTGCCATGTACCCAAGGATAATTGGCTCGCTTACCTGTTTACAGATTATTCACGCTGGAGATCATGTTCCTAGCTCCAGAATAGTTTCTTTCTGTCACTCAATATAATCCTGGGCCTTCTCCTTCCTACTGTTACCTGGCGTGGGCTTAGGAAATCCAAAGTAAATTTAAAATTAGCCTAGACAATAGGTCAGCTCCAGCAATCAAAGACTGAAAATCAGTCTAGCAATGATTAGTTTGGGGGTTATTTTATAACAACTGAGCTACTGATTCTTTCTTCTTAATGTGGACAATTGGGAATTCCCAGTATTTAAAAATATTACTTGAATATAGGACTGAAAACTATGTTAGAAGAACAAGTCCTCAACTTCTTCCATTTCTATGCATAGGTCTTTACCTCACAAAAACTACTACAAGCACCCAGTTCCCCGATGGAAAGGTATATGGAAGATTTATTCATTCTTTCTTTCATTCATCCATTCACATTTCCACTCATTCATTGATAATGGATAATTTGTAGTTGACCATGTGAAGGGCATTGTGGCAAAATAGAAATGAAATAGATGTACATTGAATAATTAAATAATTTAAAGTGTAGCAGAAAGTCTAGTGAACATATGCAGACTTTAAACATTTTTTTCTGCATTTGATACGTTTTCTATCCCATTAGACTGGTATGCTAATAAGTATTCTTTCATGATTGTCTCTCAGGTTGCATGTTGATAGTAATATAGGCCATGTTAAAATTAGACACTGGCTCAATTGCTATTCAGTTCATGCCCATCTTCACCTGATATATTCCCATGATTACCAGCATGGGCTTATCAGATGATTGGTTGGAATCATTAAAGAAAAGAATGACAGTAGTTGGCTCAAATGGGGAGACCAAGCTCTTAATTTGATGAAAGGGATGACGTTTTTTGTGTGTTGGCCTCCCTCCAAGCCCTGTTGAATAAAACCAGACCTGCGTTTTGAACTGGCTAGTATCTGGGTAATTTGCATAAAACCAAGAGCAAAATTTGATGTTCTTAAATTTTAGGTTTCAGTGCATAGGCACTTTAAGGTGGAATTGTTTTTTAAAGCACATTGTTCTGTTTTTCATTTTGGATTTCCTCTTCTGCACCCCCTGGACCACTGCAGGAACATCGTGCAGCAAACCACCGGTGGTCCATTCAAGCTGCAGTTTTGTTTTGTCATCCGTGTACACCTGTCTCTTCCTCCGCTGCCACTGCAGGAAAGTGCGTCATGTATCAGGTGAGAGTTTTAGGATGCTCTCTAATTTCCATCTGAGGATAAAGTCTAACCTGGGGAAATTTTGCCTTCTAGTCATGCTTTAAGACTTTGTGGACTATTTAATATAATTGTCTTTGCAAGCTACATTACATGGGAAATTGAGGACTTGCCGAGAGTGTTCTTTAAGACTTGGATTCAAGTATCTTCCCTTGGTGGTTTAATATACTTGATGAATGAAGAAGCCTATATTTGACTTTGTGACGACTGCTTATTGCTTGTTGGGCTTGAACCTGATCAGTCACCTTCACTTAATATGATGAGAATGTTTTGCTACCAATCACTTATCATAAGTCACAGTCTCAATGTTGTAGGTTTTCATTGTGGAGTGAGATGTGTAGGGAGCAGGAACCCTGTTTGTTCAGTGGCGACAAGTATTTGTTGAATCTTGAATTTCTTTGTGTCTGTTTGGATTTTACAACTTCCTGATTTCCTCCCGCACAGTAAGTTTTTCTGGCCTGGAGAGTCATGCAGACACAGGGTTCATGCTGGGTTGATGACTCATGGTTCTCTATTGAAGAGAGATCAACAGAATACTGCCTGAAGAAATCAGGGGACATGGAAGTTAGAGAGAAGTTGGGGCAGTGTGGGATTTAAAACACAGGCATATTCAACCTAAGGAGATTGTGAAATTGACCCCCTCTTTCTGTTACCTTGGGATCAGTCTTGCTAAAAACTGTGGAAATAGACTGGTTAATTCAGACATTCCCTGACTGGACAAAAGAATCATCTGGAGAGCTTGAAAAAAAAAAAGAGAGAATTTAGAGCTCCACCTACTGAATCAAAGTGAACCTTAATGGTCTCTTAGAATCTGAGACACTCCACAGGTTTGGATTGGCTGCTCTGTCAGGCAGTTCTTCCTGAGCTGTGCTCTGTCCCTTACTTGGTGAGACGCACCATCTATGCTTGGGAAACCATGTGCACAAAAATCTGGGCTTTCAACTGGTCGTTAAGAGGCGGATATTTGCTTTACTAGAATGTTCACTTTAAAAATGATTCAACGGATTTCTCTAAGTACAGTGCACCCTCTCCACACCTGAGATCCTGTTTTTATGAAGTGAAATATAAAGTCCCTGGTATCTGAGACAAGAACGCAGGGCTCTGAGTCCAGCTTGTCTGGATTTAACCTCTAGAGCTACCATACCACTCTGTCTTTGGGCCACCTATAACCTTCCTGTGCCCCAGTTTCTTTGTGCATACGATGGAGACAGTACTAGAACTTTCTTCTTGGGCTGCTGTGAGGATGGAACGAAATCACATATGCGTACTGGGTAGAATAGTGCCTGGCGTGTGTGGTTTGTGATCCATGAGCATAAGCTATTGTTGTGGTCAGGTGACTTGTTTCTTGACAGGGTGACTGTAATGTTCTTGCCTTGCGATGGCTGCTCCTGGGCCACACATGTCCAGGAACAAGTAAACATACCTTGGTCTTTGGACCAACGCGGCAGATCTGCAGCTCTGCAGAGCAAATGAGCCTTTTATTTATTTTTCTGAATTTTGTGCTAGTCCAGCTTTCTTGCTGTGGTAGGATGCATATGTGTGGGTTTTTTATGTTGTAAGATGAACTGATAAGTTGCACGCATAAATGAGGTTGTTTGTGGTCGGAGTAAAAACAAACCAAGCCTGTAGTGGCTGAAGTACAAGGCTTGGAAAGGGTAGTCCTATGAGTCCTATGTGGAGGAGGGAGGAAGTGATCACAAACATTATATCCTTGCGAAATGTAGAACTGGGTATTTTATATTTTATTGGCTGTGGGTTAGGGAGCTGTTCTTTAAAAGGAAATAGAATAAGCTGGAGTTACGTGCAGAGGTCTGGAAAGTGGGGCAATGCCTTATTCCCGCACTCTCTCTTACGGGTGTTGCCTGTTTTAACAGTTATATGCCAGGCAGAAAATCCTCCCATCTAAGTTTTTAGGGAAGTAGTTTAATTGCTCGTATGTTTAATGCATATGCAAATTTTCTACCCTGTGGTGTTCAAAAGAGAATTTTACTGTGTAAAAACAGACGTAAAAAATACAGGCATTGTATTTCTTGGTCATATGTGCAGTGCATTGAGAAGAAACTGAGGTGTTTAAAGCATATTAAGCATATCTAAGTGTCTTATTGAACACTCAGGTTGTTTAATTGGCAAAGTTCAGTCACCCTGAGTTTTGAGCAGCTGACATTTTCTGTTGATTGCATGTAAATGACACAAACATTATCTAAACATTTTGCTTACATTATGGCCTCATTACAGTCCTTGCAGTAAAAAATTAAAACCTATTTATTTCTGGTGCTGGTTATTTTGTGAATATGATATAGCAAAGTATGACCTACCCTGTTCACAGGCACTGTCTATGTGAAGAATTCATTCATTTATTCACTGTGTATTTTTTAAAATGACTACATGGGAATGGAAAATAAGAGCTCCCAGAAGGAGGTTATATTCTTCGTGGTCAGGTAGGGGACATAGGAAATACTATGAAATTACTAATCCACAGCAGAACAGGTGGGTTGTACTTACTGGGGTAAGGAATTCAGGGGAACGATGCTGAGGGGGATGACGAGGGAAGTTAGAGGAGGAGGGATCATTTGAGCTCAGCTCTGAAGCTGGTCAGCATTTTTGCGGGAGGAGACAGCTAGAGCTGGGGAGGGTTGGTAAGTGGTGCGAGTGCCTGGTTGGTGACTGATGAAGCCATTCAGGCTGAAGCACAGGGGCTGCCGGACCTCTGAGGTGCTGGAGTCTGGCGGGAACGAAACTGCTGAAAGGTCAGGTCTGGAGATAAATTTGGAGGAGCCCTTGGCATAAAAGTGATCCTTCCAATTGGCTTTGTGTTCTTGCATCTGGCAGAAAGTTAGACAGGAGGGGATGACTGTGTTTCAGGAAGACATGAGCTGGTGTCGAACACGCAGAGAGAAGGTGAGGGGGTTGCGCAGAAGGGAGCTGGGCAGGTGGTGTGGCACAGCCTCTTTGTGACATGCAGTGCAGGGAGGGTGAGTGGGGAAGTGGGTGGATAGTGGGGGGGTCTTCCCTAGAAGCTCAGGCACCTTGGAAACTCAGTGCATTACAGCAGCTCAATGAAGTCTTGTTGAAACCTGTATTCCTTTAAGATCTTTAAAAAAAATAGGAACTTGAGTTAATTTTAGCTAAATCTAATATGTGTGTGTATGAAAATGAATGCCGCTTTTGAAATTCAGCACATGCAATATCTCTTTTCATTTAAACAAATGATCCCTCTATTTTCCTCTAAACAGTTATATTAAGAAGATTTTCAGTAAAGCCCTGTATGTGTTAACAATTCCAGTTTTTCCTTTGATCTTTTCCATGGTTGATTTATTCATCTCATGTGATTGTGTAAATCACATTGTACCATTTACTTGACTCTGGAGCAGTTGTTCATTTGTGGCAATTCATTTACTGTACTTTGATAAATCACATTAATGTGGGTATGTTTTGTAACTTTAGAGGCTCTTCAAGAGGCTTGATGTAGCTCTTAAATGTGATATATATATTACTATATATACATAAACACACACACACACACACACACGCTAGGCACAGTTCTCTGGACAATTTGGCTTCCCACTTATGCTTTATAGAAAATAAAGAAATAATAGAATTGGTGAACCTTGAGTCTGGGGTGAAAGATCCTAAGATTACGTGGCCCAAAATGAAGGAGAAGGATGGGAGTGGCCTGGTTACATCGCTGTTAGTGGGTAGACAGTTTTAATATAATTAGAGAAAATTCGGGGATTATTTAAGTTTTTTTTATTTTTTGACCTGAGTTATTTAGATGGTTGTCTGTATTTCCCAAAATGGCTCAGAATGAGGCAGACAGAGACTTACCTACCTTTCATAAAAGATGGTTAGGACAGGAGGAAGAGGGATGGAAAAACAGCTCGAGGGGCAGGTCATTCTGTCTGCAAACACTGAATGAGCATCTAATGTGTGAGAGGCATTATACCAGCTGGGCCCTAAAGGAAATGTGGGGATGTTCAGTTGTTCACACTTACTGTGCATTAACTCACTTACTCCTCACTGCAGTCCTTTACTAGGCCTATCATTATCTTCATTTCACTGGTGAGGAAACTGAGGCACAGAGAGTTATTACTAATTTGCCCAGGGTTGCAGGTATTAACTGGTAAAGTGGTGCTTGGATCCCGGCCTGTCCTCTTAGCTGCTGCCATGCATGGTGTCTGAAGCCCCGAGCCTCATCCTCAGAGGTGCCGTCGCAGAGCAGGTCCGGAGCAGGCACAGGTTCCTGGGCGATGGGCCTTTCCTTTGGTACTTGTGTGTCTGCTCAGTAGTCACATCCAGGCTGTCCCTGTGGTGTTTTCACCCTTTCCTTTGCTCTCCTCATACCTCCCTGAGATTCCTACACACTTTCAATAATTATTAATTGAAGAAAATGCTGATGGTGCAATATGTTTATCTGTGTTCCAGCAGATTGGCTTCAGCTGGGCTCTAAGTGTTGGGCATCAAGTCCCAGCAAGACGATGAACTTTTGACTCTTCAGAGAGCTCCCCTGGGTCATTGCTCAGCTTGCAGGATCGGCAGATAGCAACTGTTTATCTCTCCAGTGTGATAGGTGGTGGGGTGGTGCAGAATGCGAGCTCTAGGAACAAAACGTGGGGTGAAAGGAGGACACACCTCAGTCAGGGCGGACCCCGGAGCTGAAGCCCCCTGTAGCCGCCCCTCCCAGGTGCTCGTCTCCTCGCTTTCACTGAACCACTGGATGAACTGAACGGTCTGGTGCCACAAGGGTAGAGAAGCAAGGTCACTTTTGCCTTCCGTTAGGGGAGGCCGGTTTGTCTTCCTTGTGCTGAGTAAAAATCACCAAGGATTATAAAAAAATGTCTTTGGAGGCAACGTCTTTCACTTTATAGACACATGGAACAGAAGGGGACTTGGGATTTACTACTATCTGTGTGCTTGCCTGGCAGCCCCAGCCCACATCCCAGCTGTAATCATATGCGATGCATTTT